TCTTCTATAATTCCCTATCGCCCCATTCTTTTTTAGAGAGTACTTCTACCTGTTATACTTGCTTTTATTCAAACGCTGATGATTACCATATTGGAAAGTGAGGACATTTTTTCCCGATTTCAGAACCCTAGAAAGGAGTACGGAGATAGGAAAAATATATTAAAACTTTATTTTACAACAAAACTTTGAATAATCGGCGACTCTGGTAGATCCTTGCAGGGTTTGGTGGGAAATGTTGGAAAAAGAAAAAGAAAATTTCCATATATAGATTTTTTTTTCTTTTTCGGCGTTTTTCACTAACCTTGATCCCAGATATTGGTGATTGCTTTATAATACAGTCGGAAACAGTCGAATGGTTCTTTATTAGAAACTGTTTGGTTCCGGTCCGGAATACTGCTTTCTACGTTCTTGCGTTTTTCCTTTCGGAACCACTCAGAATTGAATGTAATCGTGCAGAAGACACTGGAAAACAGGTGCTTTTCGTTCGATTCTATATGATTCTAAAAATCAGACTCGTTTTCCTAAGTTATTCTTTCTCAACACACCATACCCTTCGGCCTTGCTTATACAACGCAAATCAGCTATCCTCTCATGACCTAAAAACGTCATTTAAAAAAATTTCATCTCAAACTTGTCTCAGTGTCACTAAAATATCTACATCCTATAATTTCAGATGTGGTGTTCTCGAGAAACGATGAAACAAACTTAACTCACACCTCCGGTGCTGCGAATAATAATTATAAATTTTTGTCTTAGAAATGAAAAAACAAATCAGAAATTGTTAGTGCAGCTAGTTCTACTTTAAAGTTCGCCATACTCTTATATAAAAAAATATGATGGAGAGTCAACAAATTTTCGTATATTTCAATATTCATTTTTGTGAAATAAAGATGTTTGCAAAGTAGTTCTCGATTTCCTTGACACCATTAGCAGAAAGGTCAGCAATCTGTGCAGTATATCCATCTGGACGAACAATGATAAAGGCACCATTAGTTTTGTCAATCTTATAGCAATTATATACATTGCCACCATTCTAAAAGAAAACACAGATTATTTTAGTAATCTTCCAATGGCTAAATAGTTTCTATATAAATATGAATTTATTTATTTATTTATTATAAAACAATCTTAGATTTCTAATTCTGATTCTATATCTGAAGAGAATATGAAGTAGTTAAGATACTTGAATAATTTGAAACTATTCTGAATTAAATCTTCAGTTTTCCTTTAGACTATTGCGAAGACTTCTTCACAGAAATACCTGCAAAGCAATTATTCTGAAACTCAACTTGAATTATGTAAAAATACACCAACGATCAGTATCAAATAACTGCGCGAAACCATGCATAGACGTGACCGCATTCGAGTGATGGAAACTACAGATATTTGTCTTGCTCTATCGAAGCTATCCGAAACCAAAGACTAGCCGATGGTTTTTTAACTTATCATCCGAAAGAATGAGATCTAAAACTAAGCTATTCGTTTCAGTTCAATATTTAGAGTTTTTGAAGGTATTCAAGTAACTTAAACTGTGCACTACAACATGATCCACCAGTGGATGACATTCTGGCAAAGTTGGATGTGTTTACTGCTTTCGATTCACACAAGACAGTGCTCTTTGTCGATCACTAAAAGTTTTTCATAATATTTTCTTGACTAAAAGGAACGTACATACGAAAAAAGTTAGAAAAAGCGGATAAATAGTTGTCTGTTTGTGGCGACCTAAAGATTAGCAATCGTACAGTAGTGACGACATGTGACGCTATGCATAAGTCCGTATATATTGCTAAGCTGAATACCCTAGCATAGAGGTGCAGCGGTGCCGATCAGCCACCAGTAGCTATACCAATTTGTTACTACGTTGTCGGCAATCGTTACGAACCAGTTGGTGTTCTACTGTTATTTTCTTGACTAAATGGAGGATGATGTGTGAAAAAAATGGGATCAAAAACTGAAAATCGTTTGTTTCTTCGTTTGTCTGTCGTAGGTCAAAGGTCAGGACAAGACATTTACACATACTGTCAAGCAACACTCATATACTCAAGTCCTATATAATAAGGGTACCGGTCATTCCTCTAGTACTACGAAAGCGATCTGGAATGCGGCCTAATGAATATTCACTCTAATAAAGGTGAAAACCAATTCTTTTTGAAGTTTTCCGTCGACGGTAAGGGAGGTGACGGAACAATAGCAAGAGTGCAGTAAATACATTGACTAAGAAAACTAGAGATCAAATTTGGATATGGAAAAACTGCGGAGCAGCGAGTCGTGAGTGACGTTCTATAGAGGTGCCAACGAAAGACGAGCTGCTTCCGGTGATGTCATCGGATGCACGAATGAAAATGGCTACCTTATCCAACAGCATTTATAATGCTATTAAAAGTAGGCTTAGCTGATTAAGGGTAACACGGTCATGATGACCACTTTTACAAAGCTACGGTTCCGTTTGAACATGGATTTTCACTTAGAAACATCTGATAAATAAGAAGAACGACATTTGCGCTCACATTTATTCTCAGAACTGACATGAGTAAGTGCCATCTAGGAAAAACCGTTTTCTTTTATATATTTCTGTCTATTTGTATCGAGAACATTTGCGAAGTTTGATGTATATTGAGCTGCTAATTCAGTCGAGGGCTAAGCAACTTATCCTCTAAGAGCGTTGTTTATATTGATTTACATATTGTCCCAAATTTCATAGACAACACTAAATAATTCTCAAGTTCAACATATCGCGAAATAACTAATAACTATGACATTGTATATGTGTAACCAATAGAGAAGAATTCATTGAGAGTATACATATTTGCGAACTACTCGCCACGTGATCTTCTGCACGTCTCGTTTAGTTAAAATGGGTTGAGAGAGTGAATACAAAACTTTGATAGTTTTCTAATAAGCCTTATTATCCAGCACTATCGTTTTATATAAAACAGGAATCTTGATAGAAAGGTATACAGTTAATAAACATGATTTGTCTGCCGTTTGATACTGTAGTATAATAATCCAGGTACTTATTTCAGATAAGAATAAGAGTAGTTATAAGTATGTATTTCTTATCTGGCAAAAGTTCGTTCAGTGTAAATGGTTATAAGATTGGAGCTGTAATCGGTCCACGCGTTACCGGGTGGCTACGGTTTCCGTCACTCTTGTATCCTTAGCCCTTGGATCATCATATGCTACTATGTGGATATACTCACAGGTCCTCGTCTCATCCAATGAAAGAAATATATATGAATAGAATACGTTGCATATTGATTTGTTTATGTACTGGCAAAGAAAAAAAAATGAAACGACAGTATATGAAAAACGTTGAACATTACATTATTCGACTACTATACGGACAATCAGATATGAGAGCTGTAAATAATGAATAGTCTAATACGGTAAACGCATAAAAACTGACAGATGCCATATTCAGAACGCTAAAACTCATCAATCAGGTAACGGGATTATAAATATGACTGACTAGGTATAGTGTACTCTAACATGAGATGAGCGAAAAGGTCTTTTGCAAGCTACAAGTCAAGTCAAATCAAGCCACAGCTGTCAAGTCCAACCTGACTAAACAATCTCTGGCTTGAGGAAGAGTCACCGTTTCTAAAACGAACAAAGTGAATTTCAGGATGAATTTTATCTTGAAAGCATCTTCATACCAGAACTATAAAATAAAAACCAATCATAAATCCAGATATTATTGCGAGAGAAATCAAATTACGTTGACCTATAGCGTTTCACATGCTCTATCTAAACATGTCACTAGATTTAAAATTTGAAACTATTCTACATTTCTGAGAGAGAGAGAGAGTATCTTGACAATAGGATCACTAAATACTACAGGATACATACGCCATCGATTGAAACTTCGTCACAAAATAATTTCCACTTATTCTGAACAAGGAAAAGTGGTAGTGATTCTTTCTCGAATGCCGCATGTGGAGTCGAAGATACTGTGATGAAGTCTATAACATCATCGTAAGCGTCCTCCAATGGTGTGTAGCATTTGGCCAATCGTTCTTGTGCTGCTGCAGTTTCCTCGATCTTTTCGAGTTGAGACGAGAGTAGACAATCACCCGTGAAAACTAACACTCGATAACGTAGATCCGTCGACATCTGATCATGCAGATGGAATGGCCGAGCATCGACATAATGTACGACAATTTGGGACGTAAAACTCTTGCCAATAGGCAACCCTTCTGCAAGCATTTGATTTTCCATGGATTGTGAAATAATGACAGACGGTTTATATTCAACACCAAACCCATTAACACATTCAGCACGATTCAGTTTTCATGGAGAAAATCTTGGAAATATTCATTTTTCTCAATAATTAACTTCTAATAAATGCACATAGTGTCTTGTCGATATTATATATGGGTGAGTCGCTGTTGTCTTCTCCATATCATGGCATGTAATATTANAGATACCGTGATTATATCAATATATTCACTAGAAGTGCTTGGTTCTTCTATACCTTATGACGAGTGTGTCGAACTGAATGAACCTCGCAGTATATTACATTTTCATCATCCGTACTTCCACATAGAGAAAACATTTCTTGATAGAAAAATTGAGTAAATACTTTTATTGTCTTATAGTCTCCATTGTTTTCAGACATGTGACACAATTGATTAATGCAAGAATCACAACTTTCCGACATAGCATACTTTAGATTTCATCTATAACGTACCTAAATTGACGAACCGTGTCTTTTTTTGGTGCTATTGTATTTAATCGATGACCTTTGCAAATTCATCCCGTATACAGGAAAGTTTTTGAATTAAATAAGGACTGTTTGCTGTCCAATAGTCTTGAGAGTGAAAGTAGGGTGTTGCTACATCTTCTCGAAATGTCCAGTCATTTCCTAAGATTTGAGTGTCATATTTAATGATCACAGAAAGCATTTCTTCAATATACCAATCATGGTTCAATATACGCTAATGAAATATCATCGAAGCAAATACACCTTTTAAATGAACATTATGCTAAAGTGCGATCCTCTGAAGGAATCTTTCTGACGGGTGCCATCTTTGTCATGTGCTTTACAATAGATTCCCGCTTAAATGTGATCGTTTTGAGTATTGTAAATACCATCGTCATTGAAAACCTTTGAATCGGAAAAGGAAATTTTTATCACATTTTCAAAAATTTATTTAAGTATAGTTGGCAAAATGTTTTCTTCTATCGGATATGCTTCGACAAGTGCTGACTCGATGTCGGTTCAATATAGTTGCCAACTGGAAAGAATCATTGCCAGCAGTTCATCTAGAGCAAGCGTGTGTTTTCGAGTTGATATTTTATGTTTCGTCTTTCCTTCTTAGTAGCTTTTTCGGTTAAAACTGTACATCGAGGCATCAGTGATATAATTAAAATAATACAAGCCATTTTATTCACCATCTTATACGATCTCTCAAGAGTTGATAAAGTAACTATACTATGCACAGCACAAATAATCCTAAACCTATCAAATTCCTGTATTCGAGATGAACCTGGAAAGATCATTCTTGAAATAGAATAACATTCAAAAAACAAGACATATCTGAAAATAATGGAAACTATATGAGATAATAAAAGAATTTACTCAATCTTTCTATCAGAAGATAGTTTTTCTTTGTTGAATTACAGTTGCTGAGAATGTAAAACACCGAGAAGCTCATTTAGTTTCACGTATCAGGGATTACTGAGCTCTAGAAAATACAAAGAGAGATGTCGCGATTTCTACAGCATCTTATGTTGGTGGCTACCATTCTTCAGCTAAAATCAAGTTTGTACGTCATACGTTACAAAGCTGATCAGTTAGAATAAGAAAATAGAACTGCCTTTAAGGTAAACTTTCTTCAAATTGTTCGTTAATAACTACAATTATACTCCTATTTAGACTCAAGTTTAATTGATATCTGATGAACGTTTCAAAATAATTTAGGAGCATGATAAGACCAACTTGCATCATTTATCCTTGGTCTTTGCCGACGAGTGATATAGCACATTTGACAGAAGTTATCCAAAATGAACGCTGTACTGCGTTGCTTGGAGTTCCAACAATACTCTTCGATTTAATGCAATATAAACGTCAACATGAATGTGATTTCAAGTCGTTACAGCTAGTAATACTTAGTGGTGCACCAGTGTCAGCTGCTTTTATTCAACGAATAGAGTCAGAACTAGAACCTCCACATGTGGTGCAGGTTTACGGTCAAACAGAACCGGGTCGGATTGCAACCACCTCGTTTGTACCCACCGATCGCCCAACACAGCGTTATGAATCAATGGGCAAATGTGTTCCTCGACGGGAAATCAAAATCATCGATGTAAGCTCAAAGCGTATCGTACCATTAGGAGAGACCGGCGAGATCTGCACACGCAGTTTTCATACAATGTGTGGTTATTGGTCAAACGAACAGAAAACTCGTGAAGTAATTGATAATACGCAATGGATGCATACGGGAGACTTGGGAGCTTTAGACGCGGATGGTTGCCTCTATTTTCGTGGGCGTGTTAAAGATATGATCATCCGTGGGGGCATAAATATTTTTGCTTTCGATATAGAAACATGTCTCGAGCAGCATGATGCAATTCAAAAAGCTCAAGTTTTTGGGATTCCGGATGAACGTCTCGGCGAAATTGTATGTGCTTTTGTAATCCCTAAGCGAGAGATTGACGAACAAGAGCTTCGAATCTTCCTTCAAAAACACCTCGCATACTTCAAAATTCCTAAATACATTCGACAGATTGATGCATTTCCCGTGACAATTAATGGGAAGATACAAAAATTTAAACTCTCTGCTATCATGGAACAAATTTTAAGAAACGAAGACAACATGACTTAGCCAAGGAGAAAAAAATGACTCGATTCTGAATACTATTTTTCTTTTTGTGAACCTCACATAACGAAAAGAAACTCAAGAGTGAAGGTGAGACTATCTACCAACAGATATATTTTTATCGACGTCAGGTTGTAACAGGTAGTGTCCATCCCTAATCCCGCCCAATACCGAAAGATTCAAGCCGGAAATAGTGAACTATTGTGGTAGGTGAGAATGTGAGTCGAAATTCTATTAAAAAAATTTACGTTTCACCTAAGCGTGTCAATAAATGGCTTCATATGTGTCTTCGAGTCCAACCATTTCAACGAGGGCTGTGCAAACACGAGTACAAATTGTACTCTGACCTGATATCCATATTTTGATTTGAAAGATCTAGAATCGGTAAGCTCATACTATGATGTATTGTATTATGCACATCTTAAGTTAGATGTGCGAGAGTAATACGTTAATGATATCTAAAATATTCAGTCATCACATCTTCGGCAATTGAGATCGAGTAAGTAAGTGATGATATGAACAATAACGATAGGCTATATACACGCTAAGTTGAGTTACACTAAGATGTGGATGAATGCAAGTTAACACGCACTATATACAATCGTTATGATGTTAATATTTGAAATCAAATAATTGAGTGACTGAAAACAAGTATTTATTAAATAATAGCACTTAGCATCATCACATAACCGATTGTAAGTTTATAGACCCTTACTTTGATTATACTTGCGGGAAACATTAATAAACGCAAATATGGCGTCAAAGCGAAAACGTCGATTTTCTTGATTTTATATCCTGACCGGAAATATCCTTTTAACTTCAGGCCGAAATCCGGCGGCAAGGAATTTACTGAATCCCATCGGGACCTACTGAATTTGGCTGGAATCGACAAAAATGTGCCGAAACCGACCGAAATTTAGAAGGATCCAGTCGCCGGAATGATTGACCTGGGTAGCTGAAACTATCGTTCGATTTATTTATAAAAGTCATTTGAACTTTATTTGATACTTCAGTAAGAAGACTTTATCAAAAACAACTCATCACGGTACTCTAGAAGAAAAACTGTCTAACACTTATTAGACGCAATAGGGAATAATGAGATAGTTTATATAAAACTATTGAACTTGTGTGAAAAGATATTAAAAAAATATGAAATATGTTATTTTGAAGAAACAAGAATCATTTTCGTTTATATGTCCAGTTTCTAAACTCTATGGTCGACTAGACATCGATCTGAATGAGAATATATTTCGAGTATGTATGGCTCACTGGTGTATGTTCCCGACTTCTGGTCAATGGTCCACAAGTTCAAATGGTGTAGTGGAAAATTGACTATTGGAATTTGGGCAATCTTGCCGATTTGAAAAACTGCATAGGCTTTCTTATGAGTATTTCGGTACAAATTTTCATGTAGTATCCTACTGCCCAGACCTATCCACACCCTCACCCACACCTACCCTCTTTGATCCCGTCTAGACGCGAGGAATGTATCACCCACACTACGACTCACTGCGTTTTGATTGCTGTGATTCAGACGCATTTTAACACAAAAAACTTTTACATGGTGGGCGAAAGCCATTTATTTTGGGTCTTTTCAAAGATTAAGAAAGATATTTCTCCTTCCAGATGTTCACAAGCTGTAGGAAAAACTAGTTTTCCTTTAAGAATACAAACATTTCTCATTTTAAAAACTCGGCGCGAAAGGGTTGAACAAGCTGAATCCACTGATTAATTGAAATAATCTTAGGTTCGTAATCATGTCCCTTTGATCGTCTAACAAGCGGCTGGAAATATATGCACCACCTATTTCCTTTTCGATCCCAAGATTAATCTGAAGTAAGAACAATCATTTTGATCGAAATGTACTACGATACCGTATAAAATGAATAAAAACAATGTTAGACTTTTTACTAATATATTTTTGAGAATGCCACTCATATGGATAGATATAAATAAATATACAAGATATAATGTACTTCACTGGTATTATTCTCATTTTGTGCATAATAATGTGCTTCAGAGCTATAATCCTACGCGAGAAAATCGACAAAGCTTGTTCGTTTAAACGTCGCCTGTTAAAGAATTAATAAATCTTAACAACTATAACTCTCTCCAGCTAGGCATAAGTGCCTTTGGATATTTAAGGCCTATATCTGACTGATATATGTAGGCCTTCATCTGATATGCTAGTCAAGAATGTTATGACTCAAGAAAATCTAAATGAAATGATAATGGTATAACCTCCTGTTATTATATCATTCTAGTGTCATGGCTTATGTTTGTACAAGTGGCGTAACCACACAAAACCGCTCAGGCTAAATCCCACTAAACCTCCTTTCGCAGCCTCATCACAGTCAAAATCGTATTTTCGCCATTAATTTGTACGTGGGTATTCTCTTGATATTATTGCCTTATTCAATTACTTGCTTGCCTTTTTCTCTTTATCGTTCTCTCCATATAAACGTGTGATTTACACTAAAGACGTTACCTATTCACTATAAATCAAAAAAATATATCATCGAACCTATCGAAAAGGCGCTATCGGTAAGTAGGAAATTCTTAAAATCTCATATGGAAATCCACTCAGTCCTGCTAAATCACAATGCTTTTGTGAAGCATATTAGGGAACTCTAAAAGTTAAGCGTTTTCCTACGGAAGGCTTTTCTGATATTCTCAACTTAAAAAAGATTTCGTAGAAGAAGGTTCTTTCCACTGACCTACCGGACTATTCTTTGGCAGATTCGTGGGATCTTTTTGTGCGTTTCAAACTCTGAACATGTCTGGAGACTTTTTCGTAATAGTGAAATCTTTTCGGGGGATTCTGTTGAGCACAAACTTTTCTAATGACGAAAATCGAAAAGTACATCTATAGTATAAACGTAGAAGAAACAGATGTATTTCTGCTCCTTTAAGAGAACTTGATCATCTAAGAAAAACGTCAGTCCGCCCTATATTTGAATCGATAGATACACGAGTGTTTCGAGAGAAGACTTTGGAACTGTGACGCGTTTCTGTACTTTTTGAAAAAGCGCATAGTTTATAAGTCGGTACGTTTTAGATTACATCGAGAAAGAGCTGAGATATGTTTCAATGCATTTCAATAACTCTTATCTGAAAGAATTATGTATACTGCTTATTTCTTCTGTATTCAGCTAGTAGAAAAGTTAAACTTGGTAGAGTGAGCTATGTGAGTAGTTCTTTCATCCATATGAACTGGATTCTTGAGCTTAGGCTTGTCTACTCGTAGCACAAAATCAGGATAGTTGATAAGATTACCTCACTTATAAAACGGTCTTATTTTAGAATCAAAGTAAATTGCATAGTAATATTGATTCATCAGCAACCAACTTATTGACTGCAAGTATATCGAATAACAAAAATGTTACGTAATCGTTTACTTCGTGTCATACAACAAAAAGCTAAGAGCAACTAGTAAATTTATTCCTTACGATTACTCTTTTCACTAGTGAGTGCTTTTTATATCAATTGAGGAAGTAACTTTGATATTGTTCAAGTATAATTACGTTCCATTTTTATTTAAGTATGAATTATTGGAAACATGGCAGGGCACTCACATAATTTAAGGTACTAATGGAAAGATCGAATCTAAAGGAAAAGAATGAAATATTGTTTCTTTGAGTAACCAACGAATTCTGAGGTTGTTGCACTTCATTCAAGTCAATGTATAAACTCAAAATCGTAGGTCCCTGTACACAATTTGCTGCGAGGCGATTCATCGCATGATGCAAAGAACGCTGAAATGAAATTGTCACGCTGTTTAATATTTAGTAGATCATGCAACGCGTTGGTGTTTTTTAGATTAGATAACAGATATATCTTTGCACTTGATTCTGTAATGGAATTAATAGCCGATGTTCCACAGGAAGCAACATCAACTGATATGGTTGACGTATTAATAGCAGGAGGTGGTATAGCCGGTCTTGTTGCTGCCTTAACTCTTCATCGAGCTGGTTATTCTGTTCGGATACATGAGCGTATGGAAAAAATTGAGCCCAATGGATTTGGCGTTACTCTGCAGCCTTATTCGGTCAAATTACTTTTTGAGTTAGGCTTAGAGAAAGAAATGGAAAATGTAGGCATTCAACCACTTATGGCTGAATTCTACACGCGACATGGACAACTCATCTATAGAGATCCTAGGGGTAAGAATGCAAAGTTCAATTGGCCTTTGTATACTGTGCATCGAGGAAAATTTCAAGAAGTGCTTCTACGGCACCTTCGTAATGAAATAGGACAGAATACTATTCGATTAGGTCAAAAGTTAATTGCTTTCCGTCAACGGCCAAGCCATGTTGAAGTAGATTTTGTAAAGCCTACAACTGGTAAAATCAATACTGAGCGTGGCAAAATTCTCATCGGCGCTGATGGTATTCATTCCACGGTGCGTCGACTTCTTTTTCCTAATGAAGGTCCTACTTTATGGGACGGTATTGCTGTATGGAGAGGTGTCACGCNTTTATACTAAAATAAAATGAATATATATATATATATATATATATATGAATTTTTGAGCTAAAATTCGAGTTACACAATGTAGGAAATAGCGCATGATGTTTTTATTAATCAAATTCGTAGAAAAGAGGGTAAACGTCTTGAAAAACAATGTTAGACTTTTTACTAAAATATTTTTGAGAATGGCACTCATATTGATAGATATAAATGAATACATAAGATATAATGCACTTAAGTGGTATTATTCTCATTTTGTGCATAATAATCTGCATCAAACCTATAATCCTACGTGAAAAAAATCGACAAAACTTGTTCATTTAGAGGATGTCTGTTAAAGAATTAATAAATCTTAATAACTATAACTCTCTTCGGCTATGCAGAAGTGCCTTTGGATATTCAAGTCCTATATCTGACTGAGATATGTAGGCCTTCATCTTATATGCTAGTCAAGTATGTTATGTCTGAAGAGAATGTAAATGAGATGATAATGCCATAACCTCCTGTTATTATATCATTCTAGTGTCATGCCTTATGTTTGTACAAGTGGCGTAACTACAAGGAGAACAGCTGAGACTCAGTCCTATCAATCCGATTTTGAGCTCAATGATCCATCAGAATTGCTCAGGCGAAGTCCCATTAAATCTTCTTTCGCAGCCTTATCACAGTCAAAATCGTATTTTCGCCACTATTTCGTACGCGGGTACTCTTTTGATATTATCGTCTCATACCGTTACTTGCTTGCCTTTTCCTTTTTACCTTTCTGTCCATGTAAATATGTGATTTACACTAAAGACGTTACTTATTCACTGCAAATAAAACAAATATATCACCGAATCTATCGAAAAGGTGCCGTCGGTAAGTAGAAAATTCTTAAAACTTCATATGAAAATCCATTCAGTCCTGCTAAATCGCAATGCTTTTGTGAAGCGTAATAGGAGACTCTAAAAGTTTAGCATTTTCCTACGGAAGGCTTTTCTGATACTCTCAACTTAAAAAAGATTTCGTAGAAGAAGGTTCTTTCTACTGACGTACCGGACTATTCTTTGGCAGTTTCGTAGGATCTTCTTGTGCGTTTCGAACTCTGAACATGTTTGAAAATTTTTTTCATAATAATGAGATCTCTTTCGGGCATTCTGTTGAGCACAAATTTTTCTAACGACGAAAGTCGAAAAGTACAGCTATACCATATAAGTAGAGAAAACAGATGTAATTCTGCTCCTGTAGTAGAACTTGATCGTCTAAGAACAACGTCAGCCCGTCCTATATTTGAATCAATAGATACACGAATGTTTCGAGAGAAGACTTTGGAGCTGCGGCGCCTTTCAGTATTTTTTGAAAAGTACGCAGCTTATAAGTCGTTACATTTTAGATTGCATCGAAAAAGAGCTGAGATATGTTTCAGTACATTTGAATAGCACCTCTGTGGAAGAATTATGTGTACTACTTATTTCTTCTGTATTCAGCTAATAGAAAAGTTAAACTCGGTAAACTGAGCTATGCGAGTGGTCCTTTGTTCTCTATGGGCTGGGTTATTGAGCTTAGATTTGTCTACTTGTACAACAAAATCAGGATAGTCGATAAGATTACCCCAATTATAAAACGGTCTTATTTTACAAGCAAAATAAGTTGCATAATAATTTTGATTCATCAGCAACCAACTTTTTGACTGCAAGTATATCGAATAATAAAAATGTTACGTGATCGTTCACTTCGTGTCATACAACAAAAAGCTAAGAACAATTAGTAAATTTATTCCTTACGATTACTCTTTTAACTAGCGAATGCTTTTTATATCAATTAAGGAAGTAACTTTGATATTTTTCTAGTATAATTACCTTCTATTTTTATTTGAATATGAATTTTTTTTTGAAAACATGACAGGGCACTCATATCATTTAAGGTACTAATGGAGAGATCGAATCCAAAGGAAAATAATAAAATCTTGTTTCTTTGACTAACCAACGAATTCTGAGGTTTTGGTACTTCATTCAAGTCAATATATAAACTCAAAATCGTAGATTCCTGTACACGATTTGCTGCGAAGTGATTCATCACAGGATGCAAAGAACGCCGAAATGGAATAGTCACGCTGTTTAATATTTAGTAGATCCTGCAACGCGTTGGTGTTTTTTAGATTAAATAAGAGATATATTTTTCGGACTTAATTCTGTAATGGAGACAACAGTCCATGATCCACAGGAAGCAACGTCAACTGACATAGTCGACACATTAATAGCGGGAGGTGGTATTGCCGGTCTTGTTGCTGCCTTAACTCTTCATCGAGCTGGTTATTCTGTTCGGATACATGAGCGTATGGAAAAAATAGAGCCCAATGGATTTGGTGTTACTCTGCAGCCTTATTCGGTCAAATTACTTTTTGAGTTGGGCTTAGAGAAAGAAATGGAAAATGTAGGCATTCAACCACTTATGGCTGAATTCTATACACGACATGGACAACTCATTTATAGAGATCCTAGGGGTAAGAATGCAAAGTTCAACTGGCCATTGTATACTGTACATCGAGGAAAATTTCAAGAAGTGCTTCTACGGCACATTCGTAGTGAAATAGGACAGAATACTATTCGATTAGGTCAAAAGTTAATTGCTTTCCGTCAACGGCCAAGCCATGTTGAAGTAGATTTTGTAAATCCTACAACTGGTAAAATCAATACTGAGCGTGGCAAAATTCTCATCGGCGCTGATGGTATTCATTCCACGGTGCGTCGACTTCTTTTTCCTAATGAAGGTCCTACTTTATGGGATGGTATTGCTGTATGGAGAGGTGTCACACCCGTTAAGAATTTATACTTAGATGGACGAACCATCATTTTTATGGGCAATCCAAACGATCGCGAGTTAATCATATTTCCCGTAGATGAATCTAACCTTAACTGGGCACTGGCTATTCGGAAAGAAAAGGCAGGCATAAGACCAACACCAATCATCTCCGACTGGGACAATTTAGGTAGAAAAGAAGACGTATTACCACTGGTATCGGATCTGAAATTGAGCTTTATTGATACGGAAGATCTTGTCCGTTCGTCCACAATTATTAATGAATTTTTAATGACAGATCGAGACCCTCTACCGCAATGGTCTCATGATCGGGTTACTTTGATTGGTGATGCGGCACATCCGATGTATCCAAATGGAGGCAATGGAGCATCGCAAGCTATTATTGATTCACGCGGCCTCGTACTTGCTTTTCGTGAGTTTGGGGTCACCCCAAAAGGCCTACAACAGTATGATGAGCTACGTAGGCCAACCTCGACAATTTTTGTGAAAATGGCCAGACAAGCCGGTCCTGAGAAGCTATTGAAATTTGTGGATGAACGCTCAAGAGAACCTTTCGGAAACTTGTCGGATATTGCATCTCCCGAAGAACTGGAAGAGGTAGTAGCTGATTATAAGCGCGCAATTAACTGGAGTGCCGAAAAACTCAACCATGAGCCACCGTTATTTTGATTTATTCATAATCTAAAATATCAACAGTTTTCAGTATCATGACAGTAATTTTTCAATCTTCTAATTTTTTTTCACAATCGCTCATCTTACACATGTCTATCATCTGTGATCATTCATTTATTTTCGACAAAAGTAAAGTCTGAATTCTAAAAAATCATTAGTTCTTGATGTTCATGTAAACTTTGTTTTACGACTAGGCGAACATCAATTTTCGCAAGATTTCCTTTGACCAATTTGTGTGATTTCAACTTTATAATGGCGTGAGAACTTTTGTTTAATATTTGTTGTTTCGACTCACCTGGCACCTGACTGTAGAAAGCAGAAATATATTCTGTCTTCTCTATCTCTGGTCCGCTCTAAGTTCAGGTTTTACTCGTAGCAAGAGAGAGACAACCACACGCCCTCAATTTGGAAGACAGTTTTTTTCCATAAATACTTATGCTCCACATTCATTAGCTAACATTATTGTATGTTTGAACATGATTGATGATAGGAAAGGAAATGTTATCTATCGAACAAGACATATGCGAGCTCCATTAATCAATCAAAGCATGAAACAAACTTTAAATCATGTGTATCTTGAACAGGGCCGTTGAAAATTCTGAGAACTACTATCTTTATCTCCGTTTTTCAAGAATTACAACAAATAATCTGATATTTTAAATTTGAGTATATGCCAATCAGACTTTTTATTTGAAAAAAGTGTCTTCGTTGGTGTAGAAGTGTCACATGACAGACTCTCTCTTTATTACATCTCAAAATTCTGTCAGTCAACTCCAATATATTATAAACCGTATCATACTATGTAAACTGTCGTATTGTATAAGTAACTCCACTTGAAACATCAGAACGCAGGCTGACAAAAGTTTCAAAAATACGCGTAAAAACGCTTGAAAATGTGCGCTTTTTGCGAATTTATTTTCGTTAGAACTTAATGCAGTTCTACGCGTTTTATTCTTGTAAACCGTGTAAAAACGCGTATTTTAATAGGAAAAAACTGTAAAAGACATGGTACAATTTTAACGCGAATAAACGCGTAAAAGTTTTACTGCGCCTTTTACAGTTTTTACACGTTTTATACAAGAATAAAACGCGTAGAACCGCGTTAAGTTCTAACGAACATAAATTCGCAAAAACCGCACATTTTCAAGCGTTTATACGCGTATTTTTGAAAGTTTTGTCTGTCTGAGAATTCTCAAAAGACTGTAACAAACTTGATGAAACTTCCATCAGGTTGCACAAGAATACTAGCATTTTGAATATAATCTTTAGAGACGCTGATAAAGATTTACATTCTCAGCTATCGAAGTTAAGTTTTGATAACTTTCGGTCAGTCCAAACAACGAAGCTTCTTACAAGCTGAACCCGGTAATAATAAAATTTGTCTTATAGCTATTTTAACAGCTACTTTACTCGTCACCGGATCCTGTCTCTAATGATCTAAGATTTTTCAGAGATCAAAACCTAAGTACATACTTATAGAACTATAGTTGAATCAAAAAACCGATATATGACTATACTAGACGAGCATGAAGATTAAGAAAGTAGCAAAACGAAGCAAAGAAACAAAAAAAAAAGTTGTCAGACTGAAGAGCAGAACAGATGTTGTCTTTGTCCTCAAATCGAACAAGCTATTCATGTTATTGATTAGGTAGCAGTATTCGTTGGTGATAACTCGATATGATCTTGGTTTCCGAATGTGTCAACGAAGCGTTTTACAATACCGTCAACAGAAACATCTTGAAGAAGATCAACAGTTGCAATCACAACGTTCATTTCTTTTTTTAACCAGTTGTGTAATGCGATTGCGGCTAACGGTCGCATCCCTAGACTGGCCAAAGAGTGATGCATAGGCGTACTAATATCTTCATCGAGCCCTAGAAGGCTATTCGTGATCGATTTCATTTTCTCAATCTTTTCCTCTAAATAATTACGATGCCATTCTGTTGAACGACTGTTCAACGATGAAGTTTTTTTTTTGCTTTCAGTGCTGCAATGTTTATTTCTTAGATTCTTCGTTAAATACCAACTGAATGGATTCACTTTTTTTTGCAGCTTGCTCCAATTAACGGGAAAAATAAATGGGCATGTAAAAATCATTTGATCGGCCTGTAAGTTTTCGGCTAGTTCGAACATGGTAGTAAGAGGTAACATTTCTATAATATCTTCATTTGCATGGTCGTCTATCATATTGGAATCTCTATGGAACATATCCATCGTATTCATATGTGGCCAACTGATCGACATAGCCGGCATGCGAAGATCGTTCACGCGGTACAGAGCAAGCCCATCAAAGTAATCATGAACAGTATTTTGAACTAAAGTTAGTGCATTGATCGAGCGGTCGCAAACCGATGAGAATAATATGAAGAACTGAGGTGTAACAGATAAAAGTTTTGTCGCAAGATGCAAATGCCATGCTGCACAAACTTTAGCCTCGAGGAGAGAAATTAATTTCTCTCTGGAGAGAATAGTTCTGTTCGAAGGTTCTGCAATGTTAGCACTAAGGAAGATACCATATACTAGAAACGGAGCTTCACAAAGTTCTTGAAAAAACTGATAAACTTGTTCCATTCTGGCTAAATCAATTTGTTTTACTTCAAGATGACAGGCGTGTGATTTCGCAGCTCGTTTCACCTTCAACCAATCCTGATACTGCGGATTAATTTCATGCTCTAGTTGTTCTATGTGCTCTTGGCTTAAAAATACAATATGTTTTATATTCCGTTGTTCTATCAGCCAGAGACAGAGCATTAATTCAAACTCGAAGAAGGCACCTACAATAATGATAGTTCCGTGTTTCCGTAACTGAGAAGGGAACAGGTCGATGTTATCTAAAGCAAACTGGAATTAATTTCAGCTACAAAGCAACTCAAACATTACCTATATCTAAGTGTCCTCCATGTGAAGAACTTAGATTTAACAGTTGTTTGGAATTTGCGACACGAAGTACTACACTATTTTTTCCCTCATGACGAATATACTGTGTGAATGCTTCGATTACTTGTGATGGTTCGTATGGAAGCATGGCTATAACTGGTTTGAGCTTACCACCCTCTAGTAGGTTTAACATATCATGAAGCATATCGATACATAAAGGAAAAGAGTCTTTAATGAGTGAAACGATGTCGATATCATGATAGCTGCAACCAGATTTTAATGATATCACAGATGAATTATTTTCGCCAGGCATGACTGGCTTTCCCCACCGAATCAAATGACCTTGTTGACAGAGTAGGGTGTCCAGTTGTTGAAGTCTTGCATCCATATTCGAAGCAAAAATGATATCGATGCCCTTGGGGTATACAGTTTGTATGGTTTGCACAAAGTTGCGATCATGACTGCCAAACACATGTTGTATACCATACCTTTCGCGAAGATTATGGCAATCCTGTTCCGTTTCAGCTGTAGCTAAAACATGAGCACCAATCGCTAGACAGAATTGAATGCATATTTGACCAGTTACACTCATTCCTGAGTGTACAAGAACAACCTGATTGGATTTTAGATTTACACGATGTTTCAATGCGTATATAACTGTTAGACAACTAGTTGGCAGAACCGCAATATCTTCGTCATTTATATAGTGAAGCACGCTTGGAATACATACAATCTGATGTGCATCAACAGTAATGTGCGAGCGAAGTACTTCACCACTGCAAATGCCAACAATTCGGGTGCCTATCAAAAAGTCAGATTCAGAAGAAGAGCGAATCACGGTACCGACAAAGTCGGAGGTACGTTCCATGTCTTGATCAGCTAAAGTATGAAGACTTGACTGAAGACCAAGCACTTTTAATATATCATAAGCATGTAGGTTGACACTATGAACGCGGACTAAGACAGTACTGACATGACTGTTGTATAATATTCGATCAGAAATCCAACATATGTCAGTAAGACAGTGAGATGAAGGCATTTTAAGGCGAAATGGCTGCTGATCTGCATCTTGGCAAGGAACTATGTTTAATCTACTTGAGTTCGATTCTGTCATTTCTTTCTTTCGATTCTCTAGTGTTGTATACTGGCATTGTTTGTGTTTAACTACTCCATTATCACTCTCTAGGTATAGAACAGATTCGTCCAGATCATCTGCATTTTGGCATACTATAAGGTGGTTAACGAGAGCAGTGATGAGAACAGGTTTATTAGAAAAGCCTGAGGGTGCTTGTAAATCAATCAGTTTCAATCGATGCGATTTGTACTGCATCATCATACTGTGTACAAGACCTACGAAGGTTGTTGCCGTAACATTGAATTGACAGCTACCAATTGATTGGACATGTCTAGTAAGAATGTAAATGAAGGGATAAAATTGAGGCTTTGTTTCTTCGATTACATCGATCATATGCATCAGTGCATTAAAGGCCGTCACTTCATGTTGTGCAAACATCATATTCCGGTCTTCATGCTCTACCACAGGTTCCAGTGCCCAATCAAAAATGATGTGAACTTGGTTGTAGTGGCTCATTAACTGTTTCATAGTGGAAGAAAGGTTTTCAAAATTAGACTGACTATAGTTAACTTGGATTTTATTGTGAGGTAAAAGGGATATTAACGCGTCACTAATCCCGTCACAATCACCAGCAGCTAAAATGAGCCAAATTTGATCTTTACGCTCATGGAAATTCGTAATAATATGATTCAATCTTGATTTTTGAGCAATAATTAATGAAGTACCGAACTGACCAAGTACTGTTTGCACGGTGCTAAATCCGTCTATTCTCTGAAAGATTTCTTCCCATTGTTTGACGTCGAGAGCGGCACGACTGTTTCCGAGCGATGACCACCATTGACGAGACAAACCAAAAATGAGATCGAAATAGTCTGGAACTGAAGTGAATTCAGATAACAAGAGTAAACCATTTGGAGCAAGGATACGATGAAGAAGATGGATGTAATGTATGACGTTTTGTGTATTTTGCACTAAGTTACCAGTAAAAACGATATCATACCATTCATTTCCGATATCATTAAACAGAGTGTCGTGAGAGAAATCGGGTTTCTCCATGTATTTGATTCGTAATCCGTTTTGATCTTTGATTTTAGCATCAAGCATTTTTTGAGCATGTCGTAATCGGATTGGATCTGTATCCATATAATGTAATTCGATGTTCAGACCTACTTCATACGAGAGATCATACCAAGATTGAATCGCACAATTGATATCGAAATTGTTATTTGCACCAAGCCACAGCACACGTAATCGATGTCCTGTGAGATAACTCTGTCCTTCTCTATCTGTTCTTGTTCGAAGATGTAAAGCGATCGCGCGAAGAAGAAAGTCTGTTGCTTTTCCGAATAATTGCACGTCTACTAATGCCAATGCGTCTTTCATCTTACCGTCGTCTGACAGATTATCGAAGCCATCATGTATTGCACTTAGGAAAGGCACGAGACGGTTACCATTTTCGGCCATTACATTCAGTATGAAATTGAATTTGGGATATTGCTCAAGTAACGAGGCGAGAATAAGTTTCGTGGAACGAAATGTTGCTTGTTCTTGCAGTTCAGAAGCAAGTGAACAACAAGCAGTTAATAGAATTTTGTTTCTTTCATCTACAACTTTGTTTTTCAACTGTTTGAGAGCTAACTGAGCGTAGCATGCAGCCAAGCCATTAAATTTCGGGATCGATTCATTAAAATCAGGATCAATAGTAAGACTGCTCGTGTTCTTCGTAATTATTGCTGGTGATGGCAAAAGATTGGCAATGTTCACTGCACAAGGGATATCTGTCCAGGTCTTTGTGAAACAATATTCACGTTTAATTGCTTTGAGATTTTCAGCAAGACTAGTACGAAGAACTTTAACCGAACTTCTAATTTTCTCGAATACTGATGACTTGCTTATGTTTGATTCTGGATCAAGGTTAGAAACATCTTGCATTGCTAACTTTTCGAAGACTAAGTACGGATTTTGAAAAGCCTTATTGTTGGATGCAACAATCAAATCAAACTGATATGTTTCTCTCGAATCAGACTTGTAAACTTTGGAGCAAAGGTTTCCGTGCACGTAGATTTGTTCATCGGGTTCCAGTGCGCTTTTATAAACTGTGAGTTTTTGTATAGACTTGGGAAGCAAAGTTGTTTGAATATCAGGTAATAAGAAGAAAAGTGGATGTAGACAAGAATCCAGCATTGCAGGATGGAGTAGCAAATATTGCTCAGAATCCGCTGGCTCAACCTTATCATTGTTAATTCGGGCTTTTATCGCTGATTTCATACCATGTAAGGCTTCGACCAAGCGGAAAGATGATCCATACTGATACCCTGAGTTTGATAAGTGAGCATATATTACAGACGAAGTATCAGCCGACCAAATTTCGGAAGTGCAATTCTTCGGAGATATCGAAGCTGATGCTTCTTCCTTCGTGTTGATCTGAATGCGTCCATGAGCATGTAACGTGAATTCATTCAACGAATATCCATTAAGTATGTGCAAATCGGTGAACGAAGGTAGCACATCAGTGCCGGATAGACCTGATGCACGCATACATTCTTCACTGGGTGATCTCCACGGACGGCTGTATACGAACCATTCACGCAGAGTTACATTAATTTGTGTAAATATTTCCGTCAGTTTTTGTTCTGTAAGTAAGAGATGCCGAAAAAACTCGATATCTTCTAATACGATCTGTGATTGCTCATTATTTCTAAATGGATGCAATTGTTGATAGGCAGCTGTGACAAGTTCAAGGAAGCAAAGTGAAGGAAAGAGTATAACACCTTGAATTCGATGATCTTTCAAAAAAGCATTTTCTGGAAGGTTGATATTAATTAGACCTCTCCATGTTGGAATAGTTTGCCCGACCCATTGGCGAACACCAAGTAACGGATGCAGTGGAGAACNTGAACCCGGTAATGATAAAATTTGTCTTATAGATATTTTGACCGCTATTTTACTGGTCACCGGATGCTGTCTCTAATGATCTAATTACATATGTATAGAACTATAGTTGAATCAAAAAACTGATATATGAATATACTAGACGAACATGAAGATTAAGAAAGTAGCAAAACGAAGAAAAAAACAAAAAAAAGTTGTCAGACTGAAGACCGTAACAGATGTTGTCTTTGTCCTCAAATCGAACAGGCTATTCATGTAATTGATCAGGTAGCAGTATTTGTTGGTAATAAATCGATATGATCTTGGTTTCAGGATGTGTCAACGAAGCGTTTTACAATATCGTTCATAGAAACATCTTGAAGAAGATCAACAGTTGCAATTACAACGTTCATTTCTTTTTTTAGCCAGTTGTGTAATGCGATTGCGGCTAACGGTCGCATCCCTAGACTGACCAAAGAGTGGTGCATAGGCATACTAATATCTTTATCGAGCCCTAGTAGGCTAGTCGTGATCAATTTCATTTTCTCAATCTTTTTCTCTAAACAATTACGAGGCCATTGTGTCGAACGACTGTTCAGCGATGGGGTTTTTAGTGCGTCTTCAGTGCCGCAATGTTTATTTATTAAATTCTCCGTTAAGTACCAACTGGATGGATTCACTTTCTTTTGCAGCTTGCTCCAATCAACGGGAAAAATAAAAGGGCATGTAGAAATCGTTTGATCGGCCTGTAAGTTTTCGGTTAGTTCGAAAATGGTAGTAAGAGGTAGCACTTCTATAACATCTTCATTTGCATGGTCGTCTCTCATATTAGAGCCTCTGTGGAACATATCCATCGTACTCATATGTGGCCAACTGATCGACATAGCTGGCATGCGAAGATCGTTCACGCGATACAAAGCAAGCCCATCAAAGTAATCATGAACAGTATTTTGAACTAAAGTTAGTGCATTGATCGAGCGGTCGCAAACCGATGAGAATAATATGAAGAACTGAGGTATAACAGATAGAAGTTTTGTCGCAAGATGCAAATGCCATACTGCACGAACTTTAGCCTCGAGAAGAGAAAATAATTTCTCTCTAGAAAGAATAGTTCTGTTCGAAGGTTCTGCAATGTTAGCACTAAGGAAGATACCATATACTAGAAAAGGAGTCTCACAAATTTCTTGAAAAAATTGATAAACTTGCTCCATTTTGGCTAAATCAACTTGTTTTACTTCAAGATGACAGGCGTGTGATTTCGCAGCTCGTTTCACCTTCAGCCATTTCTGATACTGCGGATTGGTTTCATGCTCTAATTGTTCTATGTGCTCTTGGCTTAAAAATACAATATGTTTTATATTTCGTTGTTCTATCATCCAGAGACAGAGCATTAACTCAAACTCGAAGAAGGCACCTGCAATAATGATAGTTCCGTGTTTTCGTAACTGAGAGGGAAACAGTTCGGTGTTATCTAAAGGAAACTGGAATTAATTTCTGCTACAAAGCAACTCAAATATTACCTATATCTAAGTGTCCTTCATTTGAAGAACTTAGATTTAACAGTTGTTTAGAATTTGCGACACGAAGTACTGCACTATTTTCCCCCTCATGACGAATATACTGTGTGAATGCTTCGATTACTTCTGAAGGTTCGTATGGAAGCATGGTTATCACTGGTTTGAGCTCACCACCCTCTAGTAGATTTAGCATATCATGAAGCATATCGATACATAGAGGAGAAGAGTCTTTAATCAGTGAAGCAATGTCGATATCATGATAGCTGCAACCAGGTTTTAGTTCTATCACAGATGAATTATTTTCGCTAGGCATGACTGGCTTTCCCCACCGAATCAAATGACCTTGTCGACAGGGGAGGGTGGCCAGTTGTTGAAGTGGTGCGT